CAACAGTATCCAGTATTCAGCCGGATAATGCGGATATCTTTCTTTCAACTATCCAACATAGCTGAAATCTGGCTGGATGGCAAAAATGTCTATCTGGTGCAGCCCTAGAAATGACCAAATGCCAGGTGAACAATTGTTTTATCTGGCAACCAGGTATTTCCTCAAGGTAGCCCTCATTGTAACTGAGAAAAAAGTTAAAAAAAGACAAGTGTATATTAACTTTAATAAAAATATTGACTTAGGCTAATGAGGTTTTTGGGTAATTAGTTAGGATTATCTACAAATTTTACTTGGACTGTAGACAAATTGGCACAGGAGGGCATGTTCTGAAGGGGAAAAGCTGGCATTGTATAACAGACCCTGAGACACACAGCAAGCTAGAACTGGTTGAATTTAAATATGCTTCAGTTCATATTGTATGTCATTGCAACTTTAGAGTTGTGTGTTAATTATTTCCCTGCCGCTACTATGAGAATGAAATTATTGTGCATTAAGGATGCACCTGATAGAACATTTTACCATCCACCCGAATACCATATATGCCGAACGGATGTAAAATATCCTACCAGATTATCCGGCCAAATACTGGATATAGAGTGATTATAAAATATATGTAGGATATATAAAATAAGATATAAACTTTAAAAATGTTGGAAGCGAAACCAGGATTCTCTGGTTAAAAAGATTTATTTATTACAAGCGTTCGACTGCCAGTCTGCAGACGGAGACCCGTCGAAGACTGCAGACTGGCAGTCGAAAGCTTGCAATAAATAATCTTTTAACCAGAGAACGTTTACACAATTAAGGTATAAACTGCTTATAAAGTGATGCTTTTTATCCCCGAGCCGGCGGCGCGAAGCGCCGTGCGAGGGTACTAATTCCCCCCGGCTATTTACACCCGGGGAAACGAAAGCATTAGGGAAGTCTGAAGTTCATCAAATATCGCGGGCGTGGGTCACTGTGCGTGTTTCGGTGGGTGGTCATCCTCACTGATCTCAAAAATATGGCGGACTGTCATGAATAGCGAACACCGATTGGTCAAATTTAAAATTTGTTGTTGTATGACGAATGACGACTTTAACTGACAGATACTTCATGAAAATATTTGGCTTTTTGCGCTACAGTTTTTTGTACATTTGCAAAAACATTTGGCAGCTTTAAAAGCAATTAGTCTTATTAAAACTTTTATCAAACAATTACGGTATCAAATACCAATTGAAAAGATATGGAGACATGAAGAGCGGCAAGGAAACGACAAGAAAGCCGAGCGTCTAGCGAAAAGAAGGAAGCGAAGACGACAACGTTTGCTCGAGGAGACTGCCGAGGAAAGAGAACCTCGCCTGGGAAAGCGTAGAGAAGCATGGAAAAGACTGCTGAAGCGAAAGGTAAGAAAAGGCTTGTCTTCAAAACGCTATGTACCAATGTTACTGTAGCTATACACGTTGAAGTATGATATTCGACCCTCTATATTCGACTGTTTCTTCACAATTTTCCAATAAAGAGTTTGTCATGACGCGCTCAAGTCAGTATAACCAGACTGTATTTTATTTATATCAGTTATCACAGCCACAGGCAATTTTATGCTGTCAAATACCGTCGGTTGCAACTAAAGGTGAACAGTTGCCAGATAAAACATTCTCTATTCTCATTAAAAAGCCTGTAAGGGTTTCCAGTAGGTCTCTAGCCCAACACGTTCAGACCACACAAAGTTTTTTTTACTTATTATTGTACACATGGGAAACAACAATTAAGTGTTGTTGTTCTTGACAAACATCGGAGATTCTAATCACGAGAATGTTTTTATGAGCGACTGTGCATCGTTAGCCGCAAGCGACGGTACAACATACTATGAACATTTTTCCGACTGTGACCGAATGTGCAACGATATATTTTTCAAAGTTGTTATCAATTCCTAAAATTTGTTTATAGTAAAACGGCCTGCTCAGCACTCACTACTCACGATGATTTCATTTAGAAATGCAGTTACAGGAAAGGAACTGATTCTAAAATATGTAAATTTAAAAGCATTGGCTAACAGAATAAAGCGATGTGGAGACAAGGTATAAACTTTTATAGTTGCTATATATTTCAAATATTTGTTATAAAATCCTATAAATAAACCGATTCAACAATAATTTTGCTTCGAATTTGCATATTCTATGCTGCATGTCAGAGGCTGTATGTTTATATTTTATTTTTATAGTATAAAAATAAAATTGTAATAGTATGAAATAAAATACATTTCTGTTTATTGACATGCAGTATTTTATATTTAATGTCTTCTTCATCCAGCATGGTCAGAGTAAATTTCTACTTCTTGCAAGTAATGACAAGCAGTCTGGAATAAGCACAGGAATAAGCACAATAAGCCATTTTATAGTAGCAATATGAAAAGTATTTTCTTTTTCCATGACTTTTAATGCATCAGCCAAATCCAAGTGTGCCCCTGTAAAGCACATCCCGGGGGTTGGGCATTTCCACTTGAACCTTATGCACTTATAATCGGCTTCCCCGGGGGTCGACCCCTGGGACACCCCGGGGGGAACCCCCAGGAACAGGAGGGGATTCGTTGTCTTTTGTAAAAAATAGTGTCCCTCGGGGAAGGGGAATTGTTTGGGTTTGGTAACAGGCACTGTTAACCACTGGGATAAACCTGTGGGATTTTGTTTCACATATGGTCAGCGGTATCTAACATATATGTCCAATATAGATATAACCATCGGTTGTCAGGTGGTGAGGTATATTTATATTATATTTTTATTTATTACCTCGAACATGTCTGTCAAATGCATTTAAATATATTTAGCCAAATACTTTGAATTATGTTTCCCACATGAGAACTGTAATGTGAGATATAATATATTCATATTATATTGTTATTTATTACCTCAAACATGTCTGTCAAATGTGTTTAAATATATTCTGTCAAATACTTTGAATTACGTTTCCCACATGAGAACCGTAATGTGAGATATTATATTATATTTTTATATACATAGCTGGCCACAGTATATGTAAGTAATAATAAACTAGAAATATATGCATGCAATAACCCCTCACCTGTTTTCAAAAGATGTATACTCAGTGCCGTTGCGAGCACTTCGTCTCTCGGGGGGGGTGTACACCATCTGACAACTATCTGGCAACCATCTGACACACTTTGCATGAGCATCATACACCATCTGACAACCCTTCTCTGTGCAACCACCTTACACCATCATACACCATCTGACACACTTCGACCATCATACACCATCTTGACCATCAGACATCAGATATCGATGCCTGTATTGCATGGACATTATTCGTATCTAAGAATCATTGAGTTCGAATAGTATAAACTTCCTCTTACCCTAATTATTTATAATTCAGCGCATGTGCAAATAAATTCTTTCAAGCGTGCATGCTTTACATGCTTGAACCTGACATTTTTGGACGGTTATTTTAAAATTGTTTACTTTTCTGCTGTATTTTGTATCCAGTTCACCAGTTATATAATATTTTGTTTTTGTTAGGGATATTATGTTTGTTTTTTTGCCCGGGGGGTAGGGGGCTAGCTGTAACATGATTTTTGTCATTAAACTTTCCCCTGGCTTTGTTAATGTTTTGTTCCATCCTCTTAACAAAAGTCCCTGGGTGGTTTGGGGTCGACCCCCGGGGAAGCCAATGATAAGTGCATTAGCCCCGGCGGGGCTTTTGAAATTAAGGATTTGGAGGTTTTGCGATCACTGATAACTTGATAATAATATAAAACAAAACACTTCTATCTGCAACTTTTACAATCACTGATAACTTGATAATAATTTAAACCAGTCAAGTTGTAGTTTCAATATCTGAGAATAATACATGGGTGCGCGGAAATACCAGCTTTATTTCGAGTGTTGAACATGATATCTCACAAGTGAGTGCAGCGAACGAGTGACTGAGATATGTCATGTTCAACACAAAAAATAAATCTGGTATTTCCAACCACCCATGTATTTTTCTGTTTATTATATAAAGGAGAATCTTTGAAAAGCGATAATTTTTACAGAAAAGCGATCATTGAAAAGCGATAATTTTCACATGTGAGATGATCACGAATAATTTCACATGTGGGTCTGTGAGATTATCATTTTTATCAGTGCTCGAAATCGCTATAAAACACGATACATTATAATAAAAATTCATAAATATGAACCACGCTAGAGCATGACAATGCTTTAGAGTATGATGCACAATATTTTGGGAGGTGAAATACATGAACAATAAATCAGAGAGTGTTTACTTGAAATTCAGGGGGAGGGGAGGGGCAACACCCCTGATAATTGTTCATGAGGAATTTCAGGTAGATTTCCAGTGCACTTTTAGGTAAATTTAAGTAGATTTGCAGAAGATTTTCAGGGGAATTCAGGTAATTCTCAGGACATGAGAAAGTGAATTTGCAAAATAACTGTATTTTCGGAAAAATTATTATATGCCCTGAAAATGTTTTGTGCATCTGGAAACATTTTGGTAACCCCCCCCTCTATCTAACCTCACACACACCCTGAGACGAAGTGCTCGCAACGGCACTGAGTATACATCTTTTGAAAATAGGCGAGGGGTTATTGCATGCATGTATTTCTAGTAATATATTGATTTGAAATGATACAAGAGAACTTCACAGTGAATTCAACTTAAAGTGCCCAAATATACATGTACTATGTTTATTATTTACTGTGACTAAAAATGTTAATCCCAGCAAAGTTTACTCCTCTGGTTAATTGGTTTTAAACGGTCTCTCTGCCAATGTGCCTTGTTGTTAAATCATAGTATGCCCTAAACCACTCGACTTGCCCTAAAAAGTGTTACTTGTTGACAGTTTAGCCAGACTTTCTACCCAAATCTCAAATATTTACTCTGACATGTCACCAACAAAAAATTAGATTGGGTTTGTTGTATAAGTTGTTTGATACTTTCTCACAAACCCATAAAAGGTACAGTGCACTCTTTATAATAATCTCTAATGCAAAATAATTATCTTTCAAGGGAACCTGCTGGCCATTAATGTTTAACGAAGAACAGTTGCACACCAAAACCTTTGTAGATTTTGTGCGCTACAATATAGTGATGTGTTCTTCGACTGTGTCAAAGTGCCATCAGTTCAGCAAAGATTCTATTGGTTTCAAATCACCTGTACTGGTAATATGAACTTTAATTTGGATTGTGACTGCTATAAACTATGTTGAAATGATTCAACTGAATCGAAATATGTAACATAGACTATAGTTTAAAACTCTAAAAATATATAATTTACATTTGTACTTTCTATTCTCTTCATTGTTTTAACTTAGTAATTCAGTTAAATTGAGTTAATAACACACAATCTTAAGCAGCATTCTTAAGCAGCAAAAGGTATTTTTACGTTACATATAGCTACTTTAGACATCAATTGGATGTACATTTACATCACAAACCATATCAGTACAGTAGCTGTATTCAGTAAGTACGTAATGCAGTGTAAAAAGACCTTTGGAGGTGTTAATTTATGCTCGTAGTGTAGATTAACACCAGTTGGTGTCCAAACAGCTGGAAGGTGCTTTACACCAAAACAGCGTAAAAATATCTTCGGAAATGTTATTTTATGCTCGTAGTGTAGATTTACACGAAATCGGTGTCCACACAGCTGCAAGCTATTTACACCAAAACAGTGTAAAAATATCTTCGGAGGTGTTATTTTACGTTCGTAGTGTAGATTTACACGAAATCGGTGTCCACACAGCTGCAAGCTATTTACACCAAAACAGTGTAAAAATATCTTCGGAGGTGTTATTTACGCTCGTAGTGTAGATTTACACGAAATCGGTGTCCACACAGCTGCAAGCTATTTACACCAAAACAGTGTAAAAATATCTTCGGAGGTGTTATTTTACGCTGGTAATGTGGATTTACACGAAATCGGTGTCCACACAGCTGCAAGCTATTTACACCTAAACAGTGCAAAAATATCTTCGGAGGTGTTATTTTACGCTGGTAGTGTAGATTTACACGAAATCGGTGTCCACACAGCTGCAAGCTATTTACACCAAAACAGTGTAAAAATACTTTCGGAGGTGTTATTTTACGCTCGTAGTGTAGATTTACACCAAATCGGTGTTCACACAGCTGCAAGCTATTTACACCAAAAGAGTGTGAAAAGATCTTCGGAGGTGTTATTTTACCCTCGTAGTGTAGATTTACACCAATTCGGTGTTCACACAGCTGCAAGCTATTTACACCGAAAGAGTGTGAAAAGATTTTCGGAGGTGTTATTTTACACTCGTAGTGTAGATTTACACCAATTCGGTGTTCACACAGCTGCGTCTATTTAACACTGAAAAGGTGTATTTTAACACCAAAATGAGTGTAAGTAAACACTAAATTGGTGTCCACACTGCTGCAAGAATTTTCACCGATTTCGGTGTTGTGGTAACACTCCCAGATTTACAGTGTAATATAAAGTACATTTAATTTACCGATGAATTAGCATGCAAAGCATCGCTCTTTTAAATCGCCATACTATAGTCATAGTTGACAGTTGCAGGACCTGTTGATGCCATGTCTCCGTGTCAATTACTATACAGGGTGTATAAAAAAAACTGAACAGATTTGAAATTGTTCCCAATTTTGCATAACAGCTATTAGTATCCGGTTTTATATATATACAATACATCTTAAAACTTACGACTAGAAAATACATGCATGCAGAAACCCTCGCCCAACCTCGCAAGCCAGGGTCTTTTACCTGCGCTCGGGCTCCGGCGAAGACCCTGGTTCCCTCTGGTCACGTGAACCCCCAGATTTTAGGGGTAATTCGAATTGCCGCCTCTTTGCTACTTAGGGAGGAGTGGAAGGGGAAATTCACGAGCGAAAACAAAAACATTGATACCTATAACTATGCCTATGGAAATACGGCCATTTACGCTCTGTATTAACCCATATTTTGGGTTTTGTCGGTCTTTGTGTTATCTTTTATGAAATATGTCACCGCCTGGCGCTTGAAAGCTTTTTACACCTACTTGATATAATTTGCATGGCTGGAGGTCTGTTTTACACCTTTAAGTGGAGCCATTATTTATCACCGAAAAGAAAATAATGGTCGAATGCACACTTATACAAAGTCAAAGTACTGTATATTCAGTAGCTCTCAAGCTATGGCACAGCGAAAGGAAACTCCAAAGATTATTTACCCGAAATCCGCTTTGTTTTCGGAATGCAAGTGTCGCCTTTGTGGTAGTATTATCGACAAGTAGTATTGCAACAACCTATTCTTAGAGCTAGCTGAATAGCGAAATAAAAACCTGCTTCGTATCACAGAATTTGTGAATTGTGGAACTCTTGCGTGTGATGACCGATGACGGATTTTCTAATCTTCCTAAATTAACATTAAATTAAAAGAATATATGGGGGCCAATAAAACACCCAAGACAGTGAAGCCAATCGAATGTTGAATATTAAAGTAGAGCGACTGGAGGGATATCGATCTGCAGAAATGATAAACAACTTCGACATAGCTGTAGGAATTAAGTCAAGAAGGCATCCTCTCACAAGCACAAATCTTCGGAGAAAATGTTATTTTATGGAATTGAAACCATTTGCAATCAACAATCCGGTATATGATCACTTTCATGAAGGTTTCTTCACAGATATATCATCAGATACATTAGCAACATTATAGACAAATTGTCGCTGCATTTGATGACTAGCTAAACAAACACAAGAGGAACATTCACCAAGCACGTACCAGTAGACACATCAGAAGATGAAGAGGAATTATGACTGTGAATACTGCAACACTTGCACGAATAAGCAACAATGATTTGTATGGCTGTAGCAGAGGCTACCAAGACTACCCTAGCTTGAAAGGATTAATAGATGCACAATTTGCACTTGTCCTATATTTTATAATGCAGCTATTCCAATTAAGGTTAGTGTCACAGACAATAGTTAAATGTGCAATATATTGAACGCTAAAAAAGATTCTATTTTAACACATCAATAGCCTCACGGGAATACAAATTAAATTGGTATTCATAATATATTTGAGGTTTAAATTTATTGAAAACTATCATTATTCCCATTATTCATTTAGCACTCATATTATTGTACATCTGACTATTGTCTGTGACAACTTTAATTGAAATAGCTGTATGGTTACAGTATACTGTATAAATATGAAATATATATTCAATTTAGAATTTTGTTCTGGCACTGCTTTATGTACTGTGCATGAAGTAAATTGAGTTTATATATGGAAATAATGACATATATATGAGAGAGTGCAACTTGTGCCCACTTTAAAAAAAAAACTGAGTTTAACAAAATTCACATTTGATTAATTGTGTATTCATTTGGTACAAAGTCAAGAATATTTCACAGGCCCAAAAATATTTGTCTAGTCAGGTAAAATGATTAACTCTTCATATCTAAACTACACTCAACACATAAACATTGTGTTTTGCATACACTACAGCATAAATTGGTCTGCAAATGTCCCGCTCCAAGGCATCAATATCAGTGCTTGTATCTGAATACCCTTTCGTAAAAGATATTCTTTCGCTCAGAATTTGCAACCAACTCAAAGCAATTATGCAAGCCAAGTGATTCTTTTTTGTGCCTTCTGTGAAGTTTATATGCTGAACAGTAAAACCCCGCATATAAGAACCTAGATTTTCCAAGTTAGCCTACACAGGTTCTTATGTAAATATGCATTTTAATTTAAAACTACTGAGCTACACTGATTGTAACTTATGACTTAATTTTGACTCTACTTGATAATATAAGAATTAATCTGTTTTGAATTTCGAGCCTGACCATGCAGGTTCTTATTTAAAGGGGGTCTAAGTAAATATTTTAGCCTAACAGGTTCTTAAATTCTAGGTTCTTATATGCGGGGTTTTACTGTAGCTGCAGTCACGCAATAACGACTGGTACGTTATTATTAAACACGCAATATACTAACAATATAATGGATTGAAAAGTAACATGCAGAATTAGTTTTGTCTTTTGGTCAAGTTCAGCTACATCGCAATCAATCTCTTCGTTGTCACATTTTAATAGCTACTGAAAAACATTTATTGCTGATACTTTGAGTTTTATCGAATATAATTTTCGAGCTGGATTGTTTATCAAAGGCGCGTTCGCGATATACTGTAACGAGCAGCATTACTCATTTACACAAACGCCATGAGTTGGACGTTCTTCTAACGCTCTTTTAGCGAAATGCATCAAAGGCAAAAGCTGGTAAAACAGCGACTCGCCATATTACCGGCTGGAAAAATTGCCAGTATATAGACGCCAAAGGACAGCTTTTCCAAGCAAGTAACCTGCTTGGGCTTCAAAATAGTGTTTGCATACAAAATATTTATAATAGAAAACTGCAGACAAATAAGAAAAATAATACATTTTGAATGTTTTTGCATACTACAGTTGAAGTCACTTCTCATAGCTTTACAGTCACTCCTCGGCGGGCCTTGAAAACACAACATTTAACCGGAAGTTGTAAATTACAACATATCACATTTCAACCACCCTCCCCTGGGATCTCTTGTTGAGGAGCTCACGTGACCAGAGGGAACCAGGGTCTTTGCTGTAGCGCCGTGCGGAAGTAAAAGACCCTGGCTTGCGAGGTTGACCCTCGCCTTGCTGACAAACAGACAAAACCATTGTATTTTCCGAACATGAAGTATCTGAAGTAGTTGTCATGGTAACACGATAATTTTTTAAGAATATTCTTACAAATGAAAAATCGCCTAAAAAATATCACTTTTAATTACAAAATTATTAATTTGCCAACATATATATGTTAGGTATGTTATTATACGTAATATAAGCCTCAATTTAAGGTAAAATTCGACCACAAACGCTTCGCAAAACGTTTTAAAGTCACTAGTGTTCTTTATAAAACTAAACTGACTTTTAAAATGGCTTTATCGATAAACTTTGAGTTTGCAATAAAATGACTTCGAATTCTCGCTTGCAAATAACTCTGCTTTCTTTTTTATTTAAAAAATTCAATATCATAAAAAAGGGAATCAATATTACTAAAGATACACTGAAATAATATGCTGTCTTGTTTAGTTGTTTCATATATGCAAAGGCCGTCGGGTTTTAAATTAAACCCATTATAAAATCAATATTTAAAACAAAGTTACCTTCGTTAACGTTGGCTCACTTCTTTTAGCCGATTCTTTCGCTGTTTCTTTCTTGAAATTTACAAAATCTTGCGAAAATGCGAGCGAAAATGAAATATATTTGTGATATTTGCAAGAAATTTATCAATCATCAAATCAAGAAATGTTTGCTATTTAGCTGTCGTCATGCAGTCGTTATAATGCAAACTTTAAATTGGACCAATCAGTTTTCGCTATTCATGACAGTCCGCCACATATTTTGAGATCAGTGAGGATGACCACCCACCGAAACTTCGTTGGTGAGCCACGCCCGCGATATTTGATGAACTTTAGACTTCGCTAATGCTTTCGTTTCCCCGGGTGTAAATAGCCGGGGGGAATTAGTACCCTCGCACGGCGCTTCGCGCCGTCGGCTCGGGGATAATAACCCGCCATTCCGAGCAGTCGCATGACGTGTTTCTTCGTTGTAGGCTGTGGGAAATCTGCAATCGTCTCGACTTTGGCGTTGACGGGTTTGTCTTGGCCCTGGCCAACGATATGGCCCAAGTATGTAACATGACCACAATCGAATTCACTTTTGACTAAATTTATGGTTAACTTGGCTTCGCTTAACCGTTTGAAAAACTTGCGTAATATTTCCTGATGCTCTTCCCAGGTGTCATTATAAAAAATAATCACGTCATCAATATAACCTTCGCAACCGTCGATCTGGGAAATTATGCGGTTGATAAGGTGTTGGAAGGTGGCAGGGAAATTCCGCATTCCAAATGGCATCACTTTGTATTGATATAATCCACGTGGTGTTACGAATGCTGAAACCTCTTTGGCACGTTCGCTTAAAGGGGTTTGCCAGAGTCCTTTCAGTAAATCAAACATCGACACATACTTAGCATTTCCAATTTTATCCACGCAATCATCCATCCGAGGAATGGGAAAATTATCCGACTTCGTGAGGTTGTTTACTTTACGATAGTCCGTACACATCCGATAACTACCGTCTGGTTTCGGAACTAATATACAGGCTGAACTCCAACTATTTTGACTGTGTTCGATGAAATCATTTTCGAGGAGGTATTGGATCTCTTGGTCAAGGTATTTTGCTTTCGTTGGGTTCAATCGGTAAGGGAGTTGTTTTATAGGGGAAGCGTCGCCAATATCAACGTCGTGGGAAATTATTTTGGTTCGGGAAGGAACGTCAGGGAATAATTGTGCATATTCATTAACAAGGTCTAAAAGATCCTGACGTTGAGATGGTTGAAGATGAGATAACTTCGAATCCATATTTCGTAAAATGTCGGAGTTGCTCAATTTTGTTGTCTCTACCTGAACTAACTACGTTTACTGGCTGTACTACTTTCTTTCTTTCGTGATATGCTTTAAGCATATTTACATGGAAAAGCTGTTTATTTCGACGTCTATTTGGAGTTATGATTACATAGTTTAATTAATTTAACTCTTTCTCGACAAGTAGTTTCGTATTACATTACGATTCAATTTTTCTAATCTAAATATCGCGGCGAGTATTTATCCCCCTTTAAAACAAAACCCACTATTGTAATCCTCACAAAATAATCTTTCAAAGCGGGGTCAAGTGCCGTCAAACATTACACAAACCGAAACAATCATATATTTATACTCACCGCTTCGCCAAACATTCAAACGAAAAAAAGAGAAAAAGTTGAATATCTTCTAAACTTTTCGTCATTTTCTGAAAGGTTATATGTGTAAAATACTCTTCGTATTCAAGCGCTTTCGTGTAGAAAGTTTCGTATGAATACGGCGAGTAGAAATATTCATTTTGAATTATTCAAGGTATCGGGTTTTACTCGCACACGCTTGTATTATGTAATAATTGGCCAATAAGGAGCTCCTTTAACGGGATGACGTCAAACTCACGCGTATAGGTGCCCTTTGACCTGTAGAATCCATTTCTGGCATTTCTGGAGTCACGCGATACAAGTGTAGCATTGTTTTGACGATTTTTCCTCGTATTTCCGTTTGGGATTATCGCAAATTCGGAGCAGAATGTAAAATTGGGCACTAAAAGTCACACGTTAAGGATAGAAGATTGGAAATAATGCTATACATGGCATTTTAAATGATTAATTCATCAAGAATATCACAATGAGCATACGTCTCAAGGGGCCGAAGTTATATTCGGCGAAAGGTATGTTTATGTTTTTATAATTTGTTGGTAAAATGCGTAATTTGATCACATACCTTCTCGCTTTACTTTCAAAGCTCATAAATCTTTATAATTTTGCCATTGACTAAAACTATTGCTACGAATGAGGAGATCTAGTTACACTGAATCGAATGGTGGTATTTTTGTCCTCATAGCAATCAACGAACCGAAGATATGAAATGTCAAAGCGCAATGCTTCAAAGCAATACGCTCTTATAACATATGGCCCAAAATACCTAGGTTGCAAGGGGTTTCTAGTTACCGGAAGAAGTGCCAGAACCTTATCTCCGTTCCGAAAATTCCGAGTTACTGTGTTTTAATCGTAACTGTCCTTCATGCGATTTTGAGCTGTTTTAAAGTTCTTACGGGCCAGTTCACAAGCCTTAGTTAATTTGGTACGAAAGTCCGTTACATACTGTAAAAGATTCAATGAACCACCGTCGTCGGCAAGCAACTTTTCCTTTAAAAGCTTGAGCGGTCCCCGAAGCGTGTGGTCGAAAACTAGCTCTAATGGACTAAACCCTAATGATTCTTGAACTGACTCACGAGCCGCGAACAAAAGGAAATGGACTCCATCGTCCCAATCTTTCTCAGTTTCAAAACAATATGTCTTAATCATTTGCTTCAATGTTTGGTGAAACCTTTCTAGAGCACCTTGACTTTCTGGATGATAGGCTGACGAGTTGTATTGTTTAATACCCAGTTCGTGGATAATTTGTTGAAACAACTCTGACATGAAATTTGAACCTTGGTCAGACTGGATGGATTTTGGAAGACCCACTAAAGTGAGAAACTTTGTAAGTGCTTGTTCAATGGTTTTAGCCTTCATATTTCGAAGTGGTATTGCTTCAGGAAAACGTGTCGAAACACACATAATTGTCAATAAATATTGGTTACCTCGCTTATTTTTAGGTAATGGTCCGACGCAATCAATCATAATTCGGTTAAATGGTTCTTCAAAAGCTGAAATTGGCTTTAGCGCTCCTTTTGGGATAACTTGATTTGGTTTGCTTACTACTTGACAAGTGTGGCATGTTTTGTGGAATTCTGCCACGGTTTTTCGAATTCCAGGCCAATAAAAATGTCGTATGATTTTCTCATAGGTTTTGTTTATCACCAAATGACCTGAAAGGGTTGTTTCTTGTCCTAAACGTAGGTCTTCCTCACGGTAAGGTTTTGGGATAACAATTTGGTATCGAACTGACGGCTATCTTTAAAAGGGGGAACGGGGAATGGGGGAACGGGGAATCGGGGAATATCATATTCCCCCTTTTAAAGATCTTTAAAAGGGGGAATATTCCCCCTTTTAAAGATCTTTAAAAGGGGGAATATTTCATATTCTTTAAAAGGGGGAATATTTAATATTCCCCCTTTTAAAGATCTTTAAAAGGGGGAATATCGCGACTCTGAGACTGATTTAATCCTCTTGACTTGTATTAAGAGTAGCACGGAATCTTTAAGCAGTCTACGAATTTTTTAAATTCACGCGCGTAAATTCTTTCAGACTGCAGACTATATACACAAACAAATTACACTGCGCGCATTGCAATTATTGATGTTTTACTGATTCTCCGTACGGAAACTACTATACTTTCGGCGTCTTTTGTCTGAATACAGACACTGTAATGTGACACTGCAACTTGTCAATATAGTTAGTTACATTAATCCTAGCCTTGCCGCAAACACCTTTGGATAACACAGCATTACAGCATCTGTTAGTAGTTTCCGTGCCAATGTCTTGGCAGACGTTACAGTAACTAAAGAGAAAACAACATAAAAATCGGGAAAATAGTTTTATTTTTCGACGTTGCTATGTCAGGTCTATTCAATAGCTTCCGAGTTCCAAGTCTTGTAAAGCGACCGAAAAAAAGTCATGGCTTCTGTCTTTTGACTGGAATTTATTGAAAGACCATCAACAGTTAGGTCATGGGAGTTTTGGCACAGTGCTTTTGGCAAACTATGGAGTAAATGCCCGTAAAGTTGTGGTCAAGAAACTCAAGGGAGAATCTATCGAAAGTAAACGGCGATTCTTGAAGGAAGCTGAAATGTTGAGTGGAATTTCTGCGCATGACAATATACCAACGTTTCTTGGGTATTCCGACAACCCGCATGGTTTAATGATGGAATATGCAGGGTTTGATTTTAGTCCATTTGACAGCGAGAATGTGGTGTGTAATCTGCAAGATTTTTACCACTATGTCGACGGCGAATTCGATTTCAACGCATTTGCGGATATTTTACCGGTGTGCATTAAAGATACTGTGGCTGGCTTGGATTATCTACACAGGCACAACATTGTCCACAGGGATTTGAAACCAAGCAATGTGTTAGTTTCCAATCAGCACTACTGTTATAGCAAGGATAAAACATTTGTTGCTGAAATGTACGCAAAGTGTCCGATTGTCGGCAAGGTCGCAGACTTTGGATTAAGCAGGTCTTTGGACGCTCAAACTCAATCTGTCCTGCGTTCAAGGACGGATGATATATGCCGTGGTACGCCGGTTTATATGGCCCCTGAAATCCATACACGTCAGTTAACCAATGCAAGCCAGGACGACTTGAAAATGGCAGATATCTGGTCCTTGGGGATTTTGGCGTACGCTATGATCAATCCTAACCTTCATAGTCCGTATCACAAGGAGTCGGAAAGCTTCGGTGCTGCGTTTAATTTGGACATTGTGAAACATTTTATGCAAGAACAAATTCTTCCTGATCATGATGCGAAATACGAAGTCTTGCGAGTGACCGAGTGGTGAAATTTTCAATTTGTGTGCAAATTTCGAGCCAAATTTACGACCAGCAGCATCAGATGTTCTCCGTATAATAAGGAGTGAAGATCTTGAATCATCTCTTAGTGTGAAAAAGCTTCGGCTGAGCCAAAACACTGCACTAGAACAGCTGATTTGGAATTTGCTCGTCAAATATCGAGTGAAAGAAAATTCGCAGAAGAAGAAAGTCAAGGTGTTGAAGAACAAACCCCCGAGAATGATGCAACTAACGCTTGTGCCTTTTTAGCAGTTGCAATAGGCGATGCATTTTTACAAGCAGTAATAGCAAATCAAGATTTCGTATGTGAAAACTTGGTAGAGCTGGCAGAAGAAGCCTTAACCACTCTTCCCTCAAAAATTAACAATGTAAGAGATGCAAACAAAATGTATGAGCCATCAGAAGCCAAATCTATTTTAGAAGCAAATGCTCTGCTAGTAGCAAATTACGACCTCACTGAAGAATGCGTATCAGCCAACGGCGTATTCTCAGAAGCAGGAAGGAAAGAACTCATTGCCGCTCTAACTAAGCTACAGCCGGAAGCGAAAAATCGAGTTGGCCTTTACACTTGTAGCCCCTACACGTTTTTGGCAGGTGTGCACAACAATTCATACTTCGTGGTCGATACACATCCCATTGGCGAAGAACTTGGAGGCGATGGCAATGGCATTGTGATTACGACAAAAGATTTAACTCAACGCTCTGGTATGCTCTTAGTGCAGTGGATTTTAAAGCGTTTAAGAACAAGTGGTTTAAACGGGGAGGAGCTACAAAGTTTTGCATGGTTGATGCCTCAGCTAGAAACTCAAGAACAAGGTGAGTGTTATCATTGACAAGTGAGATAAATTTATATGGACGCGTGTCGTTTTGTTTGTTTAGAGCCAAAAATGATTTTTGGCAAATTTAAAAAAAAGATTTGGCACTGAAATACTTTTTTTGGCACTGTATTTGGTAAAATAGCACTTCTGTTGGGCAATCAGAATCAAGTAATTTTCGGTTCATGCATATTATTAGCTCGTATACTATTAGGTTTTAGAAAGTGGTCATTATCTATCTTGCTTGGTAAATGGGGAAAATAAGGATTGGAAACTTTTTTGGACCCCCGTCCAGACTGAAGGCAAACTTTTTGTGCCTCCCCCTCATAAAAGTAGAAACTTTTCCGACCCCTCCCCCCAGTGTGGATTGAAAAATTTACACAATGAAACAGTTGTGCGTTGCAGGTAAAGTTAGATAATAGGTTTTACCCTGGTGAATATGTTTTACCCTGGTGAATATGATTCAACCATATATGATTAAAAGATATATATTATGTGTTACTACTTTGCAATGCAACATTTGTCCTACCATAACCCTAACCCATGGCCCGTCTTCATACATACAGCGAAATTTTTAAGACCTTGTCTGGAGGGTGGGCA